TGGGGATATATCCCCAACCTTGGGGATATATCCCCAACCTTGGGGATATATCCCCAACCTTGGGGATATATCCCCAACCTTGGGGATATATCCCCAACCTTGGGGATATATCCCCAACCTTGGGGATATATCCCCTACTTCGTCGCAAGACCCATCGTTTTTCGGTGGCTCCTATGACGCAACCGTGCGGGACGGTCACTGCCGTCGACCCTCTGCGTCTCTGCAGGCAGGGGATATATCCCCCTAGTCGAGACTAGGGGGATTCGTCCCCTCACTTGGCGACGCGGAGAATTGAAGGCAGTTTCGGGTTTTTTCACCCTTTGTTTCGCTTCGTTATTCGCTTTTCTTTTTTCGTCATTACCTTGCCTTTGTTCATTCGCTGTTTTCTGAGGCACTGTTCACAGTTTTAAATCATCGAATATTCAAATTTGCGAAAAGAATCAGATACATATCAACCTTAAGAATCTGCGCACGCGCGAATGCAAATGCGAAAAGGATTAGATGCGTGTCGACATTGTAGAGCACGCCGTATTAGCGTTGCTGGAGGATTTTTGCACCGCCGTTTCGCGTTGTCGATGCTGCGATCTCCGATTGACTCGATCGATAGACACTCATTTCTTTCAAAGGATTCGCAGATTCGAATGCGCGATTCGACGCTCCTCCCATTTTGTGGATCGATACGCATTTAATTCTTTTCGCATTTGCGCAGATTCGTTCGTTTCAAGCGTCCTCCTCGTGTGGCGCAAACTGTGAACACTGCCTAAGTATAAGGCCCTGTTCAGAGATGTCCGCTTAGGCGAAAAAACGCAAAGGCGAAATAAAATAAAATATGTATCGACTGAGCGACGACGCGTAGGAGAATCGTGAAGTGGGAGGATCGACGAAAATGAGTGTCATACGCATCGACTTCCGAACGCTTCGCTCACGCGATTTTTCGCCCGTGCGTTTCTCACAGTCGATACATATGAAACTCTGGACTGAAATTCGCCTGCTACGGACGTTTCGCTCACGCGATTTTTCGCTCGAGCTTTTCTCACAAACGATATATATCAAACTCTTG